GACATCTAAAACTTATTTTTCTCCTGACTGCAATTTGTTTTTACTACTGAATTCAAAGTGGCCGAAAATTCCCACTACAGTCGTGCACTTTATAAAATAATTCCTCCTGAAGATTAGATTTTTTTAATTATTTAAATATTTGAAATTTATAAAATGTAAGTTAAAAATGTATATTTCAAATTTACCTTTTAAATTTAATTAAAAAATTTACTTTTTTGCAGTTACATAAAGAAAATAGAAAGCTAAGAAATTGTACAACGTAGATTTGAGATAAAAGGACTAATATTCAAGAATTTAAAAAGAAGTAGAATTTTTTTATACTTGATTACTTTGTTTTTTTAGTTATTTCATGATGATCGTGAAATATAATAATGTCATAATGATCATGATAATCATGTGATGTCATGAAGTGCGTGGACATGATAGATGATAAATCATGATGATAGTGTCTAATTTCATCGTCGTAATTTATAACGACACTGTGTGTTCATTAAAAATTAAGTGTCTTATCAGGCATACGGACGTGAAACGCTAAAATGCAGTTTTTCGAGAAACGCTTTCCTTCCAGAATTAATTTGAATGGCATATTTCTACTTGCAGTTTGGAAAAAAATATTTCATTCAGAGATGTGTTTCGCGTACATACCTGCAACGAATAGAAACTCTTTTTCACGTAGGTCAATCAGTCAGAGGAAAATTTTGCTTCTGCAGAGTATTCTTCAATGGATTCTTCTAAACGTCATTAGGTTATTTTTTGAAGCAGGAGTGCATGAAAAATGAGCAATCTCCTCGCCGGGAATCGAACTTGGACCTCTCAATTACGCGCCGAGTGTGGTAACGATTACACCACGAAGACATGCAGAAAGGAAGGAGAGAATATCTCATATACTTTCCCTTTTAAAGGGCGACTGGAGATTAAGAAAACCAGACGCCAAATACTGGTGGTGAAAAAGCATCATCCACCACCATTTTAGTTCGAGCGTCACTGTAGAGGTCAGGTTATTTAATTACGGCGAAGCCTCGAGGGCTATCTGCCTAAGGGAAGGGATGCCTTCGTGGAGGACTTTCTAAGGGAAACTGGTTCGTATACACGTAACACATGGGGAAAACCACAAAAACACCCATGCAGCCAGCCCGTTCGCGGGATTCGAACCTCGGACCGAACTACCAGTGTTCAGCGACTTTTACCGCGCGGCCGCTGGTGGGCCGTTACTGTAGAGACATTAGACTATTTTCAAGCAGAAGACATGAAAAATGAGCAACACACTCGCCGGGACTCGAACCTGGACCTCTCGAATACGCGCCGAATGTGCTAACCATTACACCACGAAGGGAAGGAGAGAATAATGTATAGTATCTGTAATTTATAATCTGAACAGATCCCGCCATTTTAATATGTATTTTCTTTCTGGGAGATAAGATGGCAGGTAAGAATACGAAAACTTAATAGAACAGCTTCAAATTTCTTGAAAGATTTACAATATATGTTTCGAACGCAGCATTTTATACAGAAACTCCGTTCATATCCCTGAAAAATTAGATCATCCTTTTTCGGCTGGAATCTATTATTTATTGATACACTTTTCGCAATCATAATCGCGCATGAGAAGCGGGCAGTAGCCGCCATCGCCGCCCTCGAGTTCTCCGAAGAAGGATGGCGAGTCCAAAAACGGGAATTCGAAGGTCACGTGATGAAATATCATCTCTCATCGTCATCCACCGACTGCAGCGGTGACCCTGACAAGGTGTAGACGAATAATCTGTCGCTTTGTCCACCGTCCTTGACGAAGTCGAATCTTTAAATTGTTTTTGTTGTAAGTTGTTGACACACTTTGTTGATTGCGGTTCTACTTCTTTGTTATTTGGCCACTTAGCAATTCTCGATTTTGATTTTTCATTTATTTATTTATCGACTCGAGGCATTCCTCACTAAATATACTGCTCATAAAAGCAGTTAGTTTCGAGGTATGTTTGTCTGTAATTATCATCTGTGAGTCATTAGAACTAAAAGAATAATGAAGACAGAGTTTCCAGCGCGACTGCAGCCATTTCTGGACTCTTCGACAAAGGAAAAATCGTTAATTCGGAGTTCAAATAATTCTGACGAAGAATTATATAAATATTTTGAAACTTAGTTAAATTTTTATGAATCTCGTTTGAGAAACAACGAGCGACTTAAAAATGCCTCAGTTTATAAAACATATATACATATATATATATATTTTTATTATTTCCTTGTACGAAGTAAAGGAAATATTGCAATTGCGAAAATTGTCGGGTATCATATTTTAGCAAAAATATCCATTTCGACGGCTATCGAATGCAATTTAACGATATTTTTTGCGTGACATTTGTACGTAAGGACAGAATAAAGGACTCTTTTCCCCAAAACGGGTTGCAAAAAAAAATTTAAAATGGATTCAGAAGAGTTTTTTTTTTTTTTTTTTTTTTTTTTTTTTTTTGACGTCTGTACATACGAACGTACGTATCTCGCATAACTCAAAAACAAGTAGCCTCAGAACGCTGAAATCACAGAATTTCAGAGAGCACTATGCACAAAAGTCTGTATATAGGACTGCTATAACATGTAATTGTGCACCTCCCTTTTTGGTGGCCATCGGCCGCACCAAAAGTACATAAATATATATGTTAAATATACCCACTCTGTTACTCGGCTTCGTAAACTCAGTTTTGTTTTATTCTAATATGTTGCTACATCGTGCAATTTTTTGCTTTAAAAATGAGTGAATTATGTTATTGTTCTCTTCCGGTTAACGTTTTTATGCATTTAGTTAATCTGCATGCGCTGCTTGTAGAATAAGCAACAATTTAAAATTTGTTTAAGTGCAGCTAAACCTAATTTTTTTTTTTACTACAGCAGCCATATTTGTTTGCATTTGAAACTCAGTTCTTGGCGGCTGGCAGAATTGCTTGTTTTTGCGTAGAAACTTTAATTTTAATTGTACAATTATTTTTTTAATTGTTTTAACTTAATTAATTTTTAATTGTCTTTTATACTTTTCTATATTTTTCAAATTTTAATAAAGATATTTTGAGGTTCTATGTGTTTTTGCGTTGCCGCGAAGTGAGAACTGAATCAATTGAATGAAAAATACACCAAATGAAATTCGAGGAAATAAGTTTAAGGGAAATGCAGCAAAAACTGCGTATAATCTAACATTCCGTACAAGGAAGTTATGTAGTGTCCACACCAGAATTTTTTCCTCTTTTTTGGCCAAATTACAATCAGTTTCCGCCGTGAATTAGAAATAAAACTACGTACTTTTACGTACATACTATTACTTACGTACATACTATTACTAGGTGTTTTTTTAATGCCATCAATTACAACGGTGTTAAGAATGTAATTCATAGAGCACAATAATGTACGAAATTCCTCTGTGAGAACATCATTTAATATCTATTCAGAGCCATAAGATGATTTTACTTTTATGTTAAAATAATTTGAATTTCTATATTTTATGATTTTACTTCTGAAATCAAAATTTTATTGCAAATCAATGTTTAAAATATATAAAACTAATTTATCATTAGAATTTTTTAAGTTTAAAGAAAATACATTAATTCTGTTTCAAAGCACGATTTGAAATAGACTTTTTCTTAGAATACCTTAGAACTTATACATGCGAAGCTATTTTATGTACAATCTCTTTCTTTTTTACGCGACAAACATACTGGGCGTTTTTATATGATTGTATTTGGAATTATATGGTAGAAACAAAAAATAAACACTGTGCCCAATGTTTCAGCAAATCTTACTGTGACACAAGTTTTTCTTTTCCCTTGGGTGCCATCGAGTTTCTGAACGGCAGTTTGTGAAGAAATTTCAATTAAATGCATTAAAGATAATCGATAGATTCTAGATTTATGAAAATGAAATTTCGGACCATCTACAATATATCGATTTTCTTAACGGTAACTGTCCATTGTTGCATGCATCGAAATATGACGATGTTATATTATTCTCCAAATTCTACTACGCGGAAGAATACAATCTTATAAACTTTAATTATGATGAAGCATCCAGAGAATTTGCAAACTGCGTACAGGATGTATTAAAATTTCATTTCCTGTTTTGGTGGATTGGAAGAAACAGACACGTTCCCAGGTTCCAAAGGCGTCTGGAAGGCACTCCTCTGGAATCTCCCTTACGGTCAACTGAAAGCACTGATGATGGCACTATGTTGCTGATTTACAGCGGAAAGAACAAAGCCTTGTCCAGCGGAAAACACTGATGACGACGCTAATCCTTGCTGACTTACAGTGAAAGAAAAAAATGTTGATAAATAGTTAATGCCATATCATCCCATTCAATACAGAGCGTTGATGCCAAGTCTACCTTGGAATGACAGTATTATGACATGCGAATTGATATAGCATACAAGCTTGCAATCAGAAACAGGAAACAGCAAATATCAAATAGGAAACAGCAAACAATTCAAATAGGAATCAGCAAATCCACTCACAAATAGGAAACAGCAAACAATTCAAATGGGAATCAACAAATCCAATCACAAATAGGAAACAGCAAATCCAATCACAAATAGGAAACAGCAAACAATCCAAATAGGAATCACCAAATCCAATCACAAATAGGAAACAGCAAAAAACTGAAAACAGATGAAGTTCGAGATGGAGCATTTGCCTTTTTACCGTAAGATATTCGCATTTCAATAAATAAATGGATTGTGAGATCGAACCAAGTGATTATTACAAGAAAATATTGAAAGTATTAAGCTAAAGTTAAATTTTTTGAATTCAATCTTAACAGAGAAGCCAAGAGTATGTACCGAAGTCCTCAGCTGCAAAGAATTCCCTGCACTTTTAATCGAGAACTATCTATAAAAATATTGGTAGTTTATAACAAAAATAAACTTAGTTTAAAATACACAGTCGTATGATTGAAGCTGGCTAAATCGTTCAAGATTATTTTCTTCTTTTGTTTTCAAGACATGGTTCTTTATTTACGAGTGCACTTACCATATCATTCTGTTATCTGATTGGACAGCAGCAGGCCTCCCACTCAGCGAACAGAGATAAAATTCAGCTCTGCTTGGTTTTTATTTTCCTCGATCTAAGCCAGGGGTTTAACCTGAAAAAAAAAAAAAAAAAAGGGTATAAAAGATAAGAAGAAAATATCAGATCTTAAAAAATCTTTCAAAAGATTAATATGCATGTGCAACCTAACATCGATAGCAAGTCGATGCATGACGCATTCTTGTTTGCTATAGGATCTCAATTAAAAGGGAATGAGATCCTATCAAACACCTCCAAATCCCCTCCCCCTGCATTTAGCCAGTCGTTGCCCTTTATTCAACTGAAAATTGAAACGAGAGATAAAAACCATTTTCTTCAATATGCCGCAAATTTGCTTCCGTGTTCCCATCAGTTAAAGAAAGCTTAAAATATAAACAAACATTCGACGTCATTAACCGCCAATTGTGGGCTTCAGGACCTAATATCGAGATGAAAAGTTCTTACCGCCAAGATGGTATACCGTGATACGATGCCTCCAAGATCCCCCCCCCCAAAAAATGCCTAATCTAACTACATGTCTGGTACGAGATAAGCGACTTATCCATGCACGCACAGAAGTCACTCTTCGTGGTTTTGACTAATCATGAATGATCACGGATACGATCGCATGTTTCTTACATTTAGGCTTCTTTTAAATAAGCTCTTAAATCATTTCTCAAGTCAGTGGTCTCAAACAGAAATTACACTCTGGCCGAATGTTCGATTTCAAATAGTTGACCGGCCAGACCTTTTTTCCGGATTTTTGTTTAATAATGTGGAAATTTTTATCAGCAAAATAAAAAGTATTTTAACTAAACTTCTAAAATTCGTTTACTAAATACAACTTACTTTTAATTAAATTAAAAATAAAATAAAATCTGAAAACACACGTTTCGACAGCATTTGGGATAAAAATATTTAAAAACATCATATCTTTTGAATTTCCGATAGACAGTCTCGCGCACTGGAGTTTTTTTTTTTTTTTTTTTTTTTTCGGGGGGGGGTTTCTTTTCATGTATAGTGTTGCCACTGTTCACTTTGAAACCGTTGAGTTTGTTAATAAAATATTTGTTACAGTTCTATAAAATATGAAATAGACAATACAGCAAATATTCCAAATTCGAATTTCCAGGTGCCCATACAAGGGTGGTGGACTATGTTATTCAAAATTTGACGGCTCTAGGTACCGTTGTTTTTTCCCAGTGCGAGAAACATGCATACATTCATGCAGATTTCATTATTTAAGTTATTTTAATATAGTGATTGAGTGATTTTATAATATAGTAAATTAGTGATTTTATAATATAGTGAATTAGTGATTTAATGATACATAACATTTAAGTGATTCGACGCAAAATGCCGTTTCAAGACGAATAGCCCTTGTGGACTAATGCCTCTTTGGGCTAATTAAATTATGAAAACTTTTAAATTTTCAGAAAACTTTCCACGCGGGACGAAACTTGAAGATAAATAATTGCAAATATGTCTCTTTCGCTTGTTCACTGAACGTTTCTTCGGCATGGAAATGAAAATACATATACTTGTATGTAAATGATTACAATATTTTTACTTCTTGGTACAGCTTGACACTCGAGGGTGTTTCGATTCTGATAAAATTTGTAATTCTGAAACAAAATTACTAACCCTATAAAAACTAGCTGTAAATTAATATTTAGAAAACAATATTTTCATCGAAACGTCAATGAAATTTTATCGATTGCAAAACTCAAATCTCGACCCATTGCTTTTCCAGTAGCACTACCGCAAAAGGACATTAACGGACTTCTTCTTTTCTTTCTTTCTTTCTTTTTTTTTTTAATCCTCAAATCCTTTATTGAATGAAAGATTCTGAAATTAAGTACAATCAACAATGTTTGGTTTTGTACATTGCAAAACTCTTTTGCACATCGTACATCAGGGTCTCCAAACTACGGCCCGAGGGGCGAATCTGGCAGCATTAATAATAAGGGTTTCTTTAAAATAATTTAATAAAATTTAAACTAACAAATAACATACACATTAACTATAACAGCCAATCTAGAAATGCGTTGCCTATCAACGCACGTCCTTTATTAAATATATATACTTTATACAACCGTTTCTAAATTAGCAATGAGTGAAATACAGTAACACTCTATATAAAAATCTCATGTACACACATATGACTTTCTCATACGTCCTATTAAATCACACACATTTTTTGCTACCCTTCAAATTCAGTTCTCACTTCGCGACAAGGCAAAAATACATGAAAACTCAAAACATCTTCAAATAAAACAAGACTTTAAAATGTAAAAAAATCGCGGCTTCGTTCGGCTTAGCAGCACTTAAACAACTTTTAAAGTGTTGATAATTCTACAACTAATTGCATGCAGATTAACTAAAGTCATCAAAACTTTAACCGGAATGCAAGAACATAATTCAGTGACTTTTAAAGCAAAAAATGCATAAATTACCAATATATAAGACTAAAAAAACTGAGCTCACCGAGCCGGATAACATAGTGGATATACATTTACGTTTAACGCAGCCGATTGGAACCAAAAAGGGAGGTGCATAACTACGCTTTAGATGAAACTTTAGATTGCATGAAAGTATAAAAAAACAAGGTACATCGTAAGATGATAGCGTGTAGATCAAACCACAAAAATCTCACTGCCTCGTTCAGAAACGTGTTTGCTGTTCATCATAATTGCATCGCCGTGCCATGATGAATTAACTGGATCCTGGCCCTAGAAGCTTCGTGAAAGAGCCAAAATGGCCTCGCTGACTAAAATTTTTAGAGACCCCTGTCGTAGATCATTTCCTTTTTAAAGCAAATTTAGTCACTGAGGCCATTGCTTACATAGGGTAATTAAAAAATATCTGTCAAAAATGCAAAGGCAGGTAGAAGGGTATGAAATAAGCACATTTTGTAATAGAATGTGTATGCAGAAATAAAGCGTGAACGGGGTACAGGGAATGAGAGACCGATAAAAGCATTCTGCTGGACTAATTATTATTACTATAATTATACATATTGGTGCTTTCTACCGGTTCGTGGATTTGGAGTGTTTGGTGACAACACTGGATGAAGAGTGAGTGAGTGAGTGAGTGAGAGATTATGGCGCAAAACCAAAGATGATTATAGTGCGCCAAACACGAAGATGGGATGAGTTACAATTGATGAAATTAAAATACAATAAATAAAAACAAGTAGACAAATGTACCAAATCCAGAGGATGAAGTCATATAAAAACAAGTTAAAAACCACACATTTAAAATTCAAGACACAGTCTTCAAAACAAATTACATTAGGTAATAAAAGCCAATCTCTTTTAAATAATAAAATAAATTACAATTGACCTCTCTTCCGATTAAACGGTCGAGAGGTAAGTCACAGCTATTAAAATATTTCTGGCGAAGACTATTAAAACATGGACACTCAATTAAAATATGACGGAACAGATAGACAAACATTACAATTTGAAACAAACAGGCTCATTTTCAGCTTTTAAAAGGTAGTTATGTGTCACTCTAGTGTGACCAATTCTGAGGCGAGTCAAAAGAACTTCCTCCTTTACGATTTCCAGCAAAATCCCAATGCTCAATTCTAGGCTTTACATGTCTTAACTTGTTTTGATGCTGAACATCCCAAAATTGCTGCCATTTTTTTCGTATCTTCTTTTTCTTTGACAACACAACAGATGTCTCTAAAAGGGATGAGGCGACTGGACAGTTCAACAGCAGATTTTGGCTGTGATATCTGCCAGCTCATTCCCTTTATTCCCACATGTCCGGGAACCCAGCAGTACAGGATTTCATATCCACGACTCGTTAAATTTATATGTAATTTTGAGAACATCCACTATTACAGGATTTTGAGTGTTGGGAAAAGCTTCCAAGGATTTAAGAGCACTATACGAGTCTGTATAAACTATGAACTTTTTGTGGCAGAGCTTTGAGATGTACAAAAGACAATAATATATTGCAGTTAGTTCAGATGTTAAGGACAGAGAAAGCATGGTGCAAGGCATCTGCCCTCCATGTAATCTTCAAATACAAAAGCCATCCCGACATGATCATTTGACTTTGATCCATCTGTATAAACTGGATAGATAACTGCTATATTTGTGCCTGTGCTCAGCGAAGAGTTGTCTGTATAAATGATCTCGTTAGTGCTTGCCTTCACGTGATGTTTGAAAACATCAAGAAGCTGAATCCGTGCAATTTTCCCAAGGTGGGAATTTCAAAATTCTGTACTGCTTGGGGGGCGCATATCAGAGAGGGAAAGTTCCTCAATGACAGGGCGAACTCTTAAAGGAAAGGTAGGAACACAGGATGGACGTGTTTCAAATAAAGTGTTACACTCATTATCAAGTAAGCACAGCTTATTGGGATGTTCAGGTTGGGATAGAATATTAAAATATTGCAAAAGGGACAATTGCTCACGCCTCAGATAAAGTGATGGTTCGTTACAGTCAACATATAGGCTCTGCACAGGAGAAGTCCTGAAAGCTCCTGAACAAATCCGCAGAGCCTTGATGGTGAACAGGATCCAGTTTTAACAAAACTGATGACCGAGCGGATCCATAAACAACTGAGCCATAGTCCAGTCTAGAGCGGAAAGCGCTCTGTAAATGCGAAGCATGGAGCAACGCTCTGCTGCACCCCAGGAGGTGTTCGCCAACACTTTTAAAATATTTAGTGTTTTTAGACACTTCTTTCTCAGGTTTAAAACATGAGAAAGGAAAGTCAATTTCTGGTCGAACGTCACTCCTAAAAATTTTACTTCGGCGCAACTGGAATAATTGTACCATTCAGATATAACTCAGGTTCAGGATGGAGACCTCGCTTCCTACAAAAGTGCACGCACACAGTTTTCTGTTTCGAAAAAGTAAATCCCTGTTTGTCTGACCATTCTTGGATCTTATTCAGAGCCATCTGCAATTGCCTCTCTACATATCTCATGTCTGCTCCTCGACAGCTAATCTGCAGATCATCAACATATAGAGATCCCAAGATGGTGGGAGGAAGTTCTTTTAGTACAGAATTTATTTTTAAACTAAACAGGGTTACACTAAGCACACAGCCTTGA